CAAGAATGTAATTCAATGATGGTACATGTACAATGTACGTCAGTACAGTAGTACAGAGATGAGCCTTGAAACAGAACTACAAGTTAGGTAAAGCCTCTTGTGCGGGCAAAATGAATTGCACATACATGTACCATCAAACAAATTCAACTGGACTGCTATAATACTCATAGTGAAGTACACTTGAAAAATCCCTGCATTGTGCACTGTTGTACTGAACTGACCTGTCGACCCCATGTCTGAGTGCCTAGGCTAACTAAACCTGCAATACAGTGCCATGCACAGCACAAAAATTAATGATGGATAACAAGTACTAAATCAGTACATGCACGATCATGAGTGCACATATTATTATTATCCAGCACAGCAAGGACGAAAACATGATTATGCACAGTGACTGAGGGTAGCTGTTCATCACACCACTGTACAAGTATGTGTAGATTGAATTTCAAGAGGTCCTCCAAAATACACATATTGGTCTTAGACCACTGACTCAGTGACCATCACTGCAAAGGCACTGTTGTGTATCCTTGGGGTCACCCGAAAAACTCTGAATCAGCCGGAAAACTGAGGAAACTGAGGGCAGCCTCCACCGTACGGGGGGGGGGGGGGGGGGTGAATGCACGTACTAGTAGCCTCTAGCCTTTACTGAGGTTATCAAAACACTTCAAACACCAGGCACCAGGGCTGACCAGGCCCATTGGGCAATACACTTTCAACTGCAAACAATGTCCAAAGGAACACAGTACAGGGAGCCCAATCAGCCTGAGTGTACTACAGTCGACCTACCCTTATAACGATATTTGCGTCACACCAAGAAATATTGTTATATTAAAGGGTAATATTGTTATAGGGGTAACTGGTTCATTTCACACACATACGTCATAATACATGGATTTTGTTCATTTTTTACGCTCTTCATATCATCAAAAACTGTCATACATGCACATTATGTACATAGCAAGGTGCCCACTGGTGCCCCCATTGCATTTCGTCATATCCCAGCGACTTGTCAAGTGAAGCTTGCCCTACCTGGATAGTGGGCTCTACATAATCCCTGCTAGATATTGTTATAAAATGGAAAATGTCGATTGGTCAGCCCATTTTATATCGTTATAGGGGTAATATCGTTATAGCAATATTGTTATAGAGGTAAGGCATTGTATGCACAAGTCAATGGAGTGATTTCGTTTGGCAGAAAAATATCGTTATAAGGGTAATATCGTTATAGAGGTTATCGTTATAAGGGTAGGCCGACTGTAGTACTTCACTACTAGTCTACACATGCACACCTGAACTGATGCAAGGCCCTAACACACAATGATCACCAGCTAGAGTGTGTCCGCTTTGCAAGTGCAGCACTACAAAAGAATTGCCCCTGTGGCTTGAACCAGCTGACATCCAGTGGAAGAATTCTGATCAGCCGCGTATACAAACTGACATTCTTACACGACAAGGTTACAGATTGGCTGCAGGGGATAACGCCATACATACTAGGTTTCAGAGCACCTGCTTCAACTGAGTTCAAGCAGTGTTTGTCCACATGACTCACGGCCCACCTGTAGCAACTGCATGACTGTGCAGTCATGAAGTAAGTTCATGTGACTCTATTGGGTGAATCACTGTATCACTTTTTAATATTCATTCTGACAAAGTGACGGAATACTGAGCCTTCTTCTTATCCGTTGTACTCCATGCTGGTATATTGTATGGAGTACGCTGGACAAGAAGAACACTCCGATTCATGTGGTCCTTGGCGCTCGTCCATTGAAATATGAGAAAGAAAACGTATACAGAGATGTAAACAATACAGTACAACACACAGAACAACTAAGGTTGTGGGCGAAGATATCCAGTCTTCCAGGGAAGACCCAGCCCATGCGGTGGAACTGTAGTAATTCCATGGTGAATGCACAGACATACAGTGTAGACATGGACATGCGTAGGTAAAGATGAAATTGTTTACACCGGAATGGTCATCACACACACACATACACACACGCACATACACACACACACGCACGATGCATGCATACACAGTTATGAGTACAGCACATTACATAATTATACGTTCATACAAGTACTAGTAGGTCGTTACTATGAAGGTTGAGACCGCGTCACAGCTATACATACAATGTACGTATACAGGCAAGCGAGCTACTTCCGTACATTCGGACGGTATCGCTACCAGGCTGCACACATCTTGCGCACACACACATACATACATGTGCGTGATGCTAACATCCGTCCCCAAAACACAAGGCAATGATTAGTTTCTTCCGACGCTTTTCCGCACCGCCCTGAATGCTTTGCGCAGAAAAAGGGCACTGGCGAAAAGGCCGGAATCATTTCGTACATGCTCGCACTTTCACATGGCATTGTGTGTACCGGCAAGAGTACATAAGAGTACATAAAAGTACATAAGAGTACATATGATTGTACTCTTGGTATCGGGTATGTTACAATGAAGAACTGTTTTATGACTGAGTAGTACCTTGTTTGTCAAATACATGTGCTAGGGATAACGAAAGATAAGGCATAGGGCACACTGAGAAAGATAGTGCTCCTGGCACCAGCATTGTTTGGTTGTTACTTGGTAGGATACTGGTCTTCCTGCCTTGCGACCATCCTGTGCTGTCTTTCGCTACCTAGTGGTACAGTACTCGCATCAGCACAGCGTACTGCACGTCCGGCCGTAGCGGCACTACTCACAAAACACCACAACCCAGTGTTTTCCCTACCTACATCCGGTGTAGGTAGGGAAGGTAGCGTAACTGAACGCACGTTTAGGGCATACATGCACGCAGGCTATAACCACTCCTGCCCCACTGGGGTCCTAACCTTCTCCGCATTCTTCGGTAGAAAGATTCCTGTAAGTAAGTCGCATCAACCTGCAAACCGGTCAGGAACTGCCCAGGAAATACCGTGCGCAATCAGTCAGCGCCTGGCAGCTTCCTGCATCCCAACAACGTTTATCCGAGCTGCTTCTCCAGTTGATAAGTACATTCCCACCATCATTCAAGTTTACATAACAATAACTATTTGTACACCGGTCTGTGCAGTACCGTTGCAATGCACTCTCATGCTTGTGGAGCTGGATAGCTGCAGATTATATGGATAGCTACAGTGCACAGGAAACTGGATACAAGTAATCGAGCTTGACATCCTAATCTGGTTTGCAGGAACACCAGAAGCAGCGTGCTCTCTGCGGGCGTTCACTTCAGACGACCACCAGCAGCCCATTCCAAGATACATGTACAGTGAACTTTGGAGAAAGTAATCACATTGGGTGCGGCAATACGACAAAAACAAGGCATGGCCTCATCTACACGGCTGCCGGCCACACCGCCAGACAACGGACCATGCTTCAGTGCTTCCAGCCAGGAAGGAAATACCTGCTGAAGACAATCGACTGGCGAGGTTTGCATCTCCGACCCTGCCCCTTCCTGTGCGCACCTAGTCAGCGAGCACACACGCTTACTAGAAAAATCAGGTTTGTGTACATGTACTAGCACTAATATCATAATGCACTTGCATGTTCCATTATCAAATCTAGTGCCCGCCATGCAAATCGGAGCAAATACTGCATAACATACTTGTAATACTCCCAGCATTGACGGAAAGGGCAGGAACGATCACACACACACACACACACATGCACACACACATACACACAAACACACGCACGCACGCACACACACCATGTATGTATGTATACGCCCGTCGCAAGAGAAGCACGCAAATCTGCAAATGCACTGGATGTGCACCCACAGATTTTCTCTTATAGCAACGATAGCGAACAAGATCTGAATGAGACAGATCAAGACTTGCGCCAGATAACTGTCCAATCCACACAACTGGCGAAGCCATGTGAATCGACCACCAATGCACACCTGGTCCACACCACACGGAGTACATCGGCATAAAACGGCCAAGACAGTTACCTATGCACACCCTACACTTGCTGGGGTAACCAGTATAGACAGCATGCTGCTTTGATAGAAGCAGACACTAGATGCACTGGTACCTTGAAGTGAAATTGGAGTTACTTTACCAACCAGCCTCGGCTACTGAGTACTGGGAACCCAGAGCCAACAGACATACCAACAACCTCAGGCAAGAAAGCTACCATAGTAACGACACACTGGATTGTGGAGCTGAAACTAGTCCAACTTCCAAATGCTTTGGCAAGAAGGTAGCCTTCCAACAGACACACACACACACACACATGTACTTGCTCACTGCCAAAACTGGTCACGTGGGTCTCCCCGGGAGAGGGGAGAGAGACTCCAAAGGAATCTTGGAAAGATGACTCAATTGGCCATTGAACCACCCAACGGCCGACACCCCCTGAAATCCCCAAACTAGGGTGGACTTGAAATGATCCCACTTATGGGCTCACCACACCTCAGTAAGTGGGTGAGGACAAGGTGCAGAAAAAGGATTGACGGCATCAGGGTATCCGTCCCGGGATACAACTGCAGTTACCCCTGCCCCCAGTGAAGGTAATACTTGGTACTAGTGTGGGTGGCTAAATCAGAGTGGATCTGATAAAAGCTTCACTAGCACCATTGATTACACAAGAGTTTATCTAGCCAGAAGTAGTCCATGGTTAACAGGTATGTATACTTCAAATAGAAAGTATATGAACCCTGAAACCAACAAAGGTGGTAGGTACAACAATACACCTTCAAGCAGCCGAGCCCGTTGGCAACAGGCCCAACACTATCTGGCATAAGTGTACCCACCAACCGAACTAGACATACACACACACACACACACATACACACACACACACACACACACACACACACAGGAACATTGTACTACTGCCTGGGTGGCTAGCTATCACAGTCAACGCTTAATCCCAGATCTACCCAACTGGCTGAGGAAACCCAGAGGACTGAAGTGCAGTGCACCGCAAGCACCAGCACAGGTAGCTACGACACAATCATCCACACACAGACACTCTGGCTTATACCATCCGAGAGACAGCACGTGGATTCTATCCCAAAAATACTTCAACGTGTGATCATGTATGAACGTAACCGCTAGTACATGACAGTGCGTGTGGTATATAAAGCTATAAACTGAATATTACACTAAAGAATCGCAATGATAACATCTGTATACTGCGCCCTCCTCAATGGATAGGCGTGAAACTGGCTACTCCTAGTAGTAGTTAGTTGACAAGCCAGGCTAGGACATCCCAAACAACCGCGGAGGGAAGAAAAATATCCAGGCATGTGAGACTGGTGGGTAGGAGAGCAATAGGTGAGAGCGTAGGAAAGAACATGCACACCGGCAGACCAAAGACAAACAGATCGGCGAACACAATCATACACACATACACACACACACACACACACACACACACACACACACACAGGCATGCACGCGCGCACAAAGTTAGGGGAAGGGAAGGCAGAGTGCAACACGTCACCTATCTCAGATCCTCTGGGCAGTCGGGCTGGTTCTTCGGGTGAGCAGCGACGAAAGCATCTTGGCACTCCAGTGCACTGTGTACACGTTGAATGGCAGGGAATGCTTCCATGTCAACCTTGAAACGATTGGCATTATACACCTGCACACGGTAGTAACACAGACGAATAGCAGAGTTTAACACAAGAACACTCAATTTCCATCAGGATATGCAACTAACGACAATGCAAAACAGCGGGCCTAACTTCTCGCCAACTTTTACGCATTTATAACTTTATCCATCTCCTAAACGGTCCCTTCACTGCGAATAACTAACTTCACATTTCACACACACACACACGAACATTTCAGGCTTGGCTCATCATCAGGGTGACAAGCAAGAAGCGGAATTTTTCCGCATAACGTTATAGTATTACACAATCATATACTCGCCACATACGTAGTACTCTCAGGGCAGGGACAATATGCGTAGTACTCTCAGGGCAGGGACAATATCAACATACGTAGTACTCTCAGGGCACGGACAATATCAATTTCCGTCTGATGATCGATTCAATTCGTGAAACTCAGAGTCACGAAACGGCAACTGTGTCGTTACCTTGGTGATTACCATGGTAACGAGTTGCTCAGTTGACTATATTACACATCACTTGCTACTTATACCATTAGTTATTAATGCATTTATCTTGGTATGACGAAGCCGCAGCCTAATTACATGGCCCGTGATTTCATAACCAGATTCACTATTAAGGTTTCAATTAAGTATAAATTCATTATGTCTATAATACTCTCTTGAATTATATCACCAATATGACTCGGTTGCTCTCTGTTTGAGTCCCGGGTGACAAGGCGATGATGCTTGCCGTGAGAAGGTTCCTGGGAACCGTCCGTTTAGTCAAGGCTGGGAAGGAAATGCAGTTGCACAAGCTCGACACAGCTGAGTGCAAGCTCAATCTCAAGCTGGAAGAGGCCAAGCGCGAAGTAGCAGAGGCCAAGCTCGGCGCAGTAGAGGAGCACCCTTTACTGCACTTCAAAGAAACACTCTTTGGTCTTTGGTGGAATGGACCTAGTTGGCTTCAAGAACAACTTCAGAACTGGCCAACTTGGAAAGAGCCAGAAATCACTCCAGACATAATCAGAAAGGTAGAGTCTGAAATCACACACAAAGGAAAGGTGATGTTTGAAACTTCTCTCTCAGTTGTCGAATTCAATCCAAGACCATTCAGCATTGACTCTACGAAGTACTCCAAGTTAAGAAAGCTACTAGTAGTAACACGTCTCTGCCTTCAGTTTATTGCCAAATGCCGCAAAGCCTTCAGTTCAGACACAGATGCAACTACTTACCTGAACGAAGCAACTAGGCTTTGGGTTAAGAATATCCAAACCAAACATTATCCACGCAATAGTAACAACAACCTCACGAAACAGCTTGGATTGAAAGAAGATGAATGCGGCATCATTCGATGCCATGGACGATTAAGCAATGCTGAAATTCCGTACGATGCTAAGTACCCAACGCTTCTACCAGCCAATGAGCACTTCACTAAACTGTTGATATTGGATTGTCATCAACGTCTTCTACACGCTGGGGTATCACACACTCTTGCTCAGGTCAGACATAGTTATCGGATACCTCATGGACGTGCAACTGTCAAGAAGATCTTGCACACCTGTACAACATGTAGGAGATTTGAGACTGGTCCATATGCAATGTCTCGGCTTCCACCAATTCCAAAAGAACGTGTTTCTCAGTCACTACCGTTTACGTTTACAGGACTTGATTACTTGGGGCCACTGATCGCGCGATCACCAAATGGGACGTTCCCTAAGGTATGGACATGTCTGTTCACCTGTATGGCCACTAGAGCAATAACCTTGGAAGTAATCACGGACATGTCTTCAGAACAGTTTTTACTATGCTTGAGACGATTCATCTCTGCAAGGGGAAGGCCCGCGCGGGTCATTTCAGACAACGCTCCTCAATTCAAACTGGTACATGCAACTGTAAATGAAGTCTGCAACAATGTTGTAGCCGATGTAAATGTTGTTTCATATGTAGCCAATGAAGGTATCCAGTGGACCTATATTCCAGAATTCTCACCTTGGATGGGTGGATTTACAAACGATTCGTCGGGCTAGTGAAGCGGTCAATGAGAAAGAGCTTGGGAAGGAATGTACTAACACTACTACAGTTGCAAACAATCACAAAAGAGATAGAAGCCATTATTAACACTCGTCCGCTGCTGTATAATGACGATGATGTGAACACGGTAACGCTTACGCCAGCAAATCTCCTTGGTAATTCAACGCAACATGGATCACCAGAGTTAGCCAGTGATATGAGGGAAGACCCGGATTACGGGAAACTGTCGTCACGGGACGAGTTGATAAGTAAATGGAAAGCTAGTCAAACACACTTAACTAATTTCTGGAAGGTATGGGAGTCTGAATATCTTCTCTCCCTCCGAGAACGGTACCAGCAGCAGCACAAGCAACCAAGAAGTACCAGCCAATACAAACCGAGAGTAAATGCAGTAGTACTGATCAAAGAGGAGAAAGTCGGAAGAGGCTCATGGAAACTAGCAAGAGTAACTGAATTGACGGAGAGCAGTGACGGTGAGATTAGAACAGCAAGGCTCAGTTAAGTAATGGTAATAACGTCACAAGACCGTTGTGTACGCTGTATCCAATTGAGTGTGAGTCTGAGTCTGAGTCAAGTATGCCTGACGAGCCAGTCGTTGCACCAGTAGCAGTCAGGCTACCATCTCGCAGAGCGGCAGCTACCAGGGGTAGAGAAGCTCTTAGGAACCTTATCCAGGATGGACAGTTGTAAATATTGCGAACTAGGTTTGTATTCCGTGTTTAAATTTCATTGTTGTTAGATTATTGCCTTTGCACATTGAGAGCATTCAGGTAGTTTATAAAGTTTGCCGCACCATTAAGTTAGACAGATAGATATTTCACAAATTACGCTATTAAAGTATCTTTTCAAACCGAAACATTCGGTCGGTTACTTGCCCAGAGCCATTCTAATCTAGCATCGTCGATTTCTGGGGATTTCCCCAGAGCAATTCTAGTCCAGCACCATAGATTTCTGGGGGACTTTGTGTAACGTTGACACCCCATCCCTCCCCCTAATCCAGCAGAGCTTCCATTGCACGCACATGCTGCAGGATGGATTAAAAAGAGGCCACCGTATCGTTACCTACCTGAGGGACAAGACAGAGGTCAGCCACCGTGATCTCATCGCCCACGCTGTACTTGCCCGAGTAGCGCTGCAGCAGAGCTTCCAGAGCTACAAAGCCCACCGTAATCCAGTGCTTGCCCCACTCGGCTTTCTTCTCACTGCCTACGTACTGCAGAATGGATAGGTTCTGGATTGGCTGAATGCCACTGTTGATGCACTCCACCACATGACGGACCTACAGACAGAACAGAGTTAACGGTGTGCGCGTTAGTCAATTATTATTATTATTATTATTCACACATATCCGCCGGATTAGTACGCGCGGCCTATGCACCATGGTGACCCACAAATTCAAACCAGCAAATGTTCCCTCAGCAATACGAGCAAACAAAGAGAAATGAGGGCCCAGGCAACAAAAACAAAGCAAAGAGAGATGAGGACATGGGCAACAAAAACAGTTCCAAAGCGTAGCCAGTGGTAAACAAAATTATTTGACAATGAAATCAGAGAAGAAAATGACCATGAAACTGTGTAGCAATGGCAAACCTAAAACATTCAACATGGGCTTTGGATAGTAGTCACTATTAGCCGTATGGCCTGGCTGGGTCAGGGGTGTCGCTACGCCATGGCGCTTGATACGGTTACTCCGGTATTGGCCGTGTCACTCTTTGCCCCAGGTACCTCGTGAACCCATAAACGCACTATTTTTACTCTAAATTTTATAACAATCAGCATATCTCTCTCTTTTCTCCTCCCCCCCCCCCTTGCCAGGAGTGAATTGCACTTCAAACAGTTGACCGTACTACCCTAAAAAAACTTTCCGACATCTCTGTGGGTTGCCGATAAGTGCACTGATTTTGACTCTAAATTTTGAAAACTTTCAGCAGACCTCTCTCCTGTACTACTCTAAAGTACTTTCCAACCCCACTGTGGGTTGCGTGTACACCCACTCAATTGCTGTCCTGTTTGTTATTTCTAGGTCCTTCCCTTCCTTCTGCGCTATCCGTTCTTATCTTTTCCTTGTTTTTTTCTCCCTTGCGAGTTGGGTGTGAGATTTTCAGCATAAAAAAATAAAATAAAACCTACCCTGGCACGCTCAACAGCACCCTTTGGCAATATGGGTACCTGTGGCCGCGTCTCTTCAAGGTATTCCAGAATCGCAATGCTTTGGCTCAACGTTACACCATCGATCTCAATGGACGGTACCTGCAAACAAACAAAGAGAGAAAAGAGAGACATAAAGTCCACCGCCGGGCGGGGTCGGTACAGTAGAGTGCCGTTTATTCGCCCCCCCCCCCCCCCCCTCGATGCGTGGGATGTCTCCACGGGGTTCGGATGAGAAGAATGAAGAATGTTCGGATAAGGGAACAGTCGCACATCTATCTAAAACATGCATATTCCCGCATGTTTTCATCATCTGTCATTCTCTTCGGCAGTGCAACAGGAACTAGGCGCACTCCAGCTTCTCAAAATGACACTATCGTTATACATTTTGACTCCAATCTGTTGTAATACATTTTGTGCATCGCTTGAATGGTGCTGCGAGGAGGGAAAATATCATTTCCCACCCCGCAATGCAATGCAAGTAAGATTGTTCGGATAGTTGACTTTCAAATAATCGGCATTCTACCGTAGCAGCTTACGCCGTGATCCGCAGTGTGTGTGTGGGGGGGGGGGGGGGGGGGAGGGGGGACCATCCATGGCGCACGCCTTACTAATATGTAACATGTACTTGGGACTTGGAACGGATTCATTCATGCCCTAAAATTATTATTACTTCATCATGAATGTGGAGTCATGGTATACAAGTGAAGTGTCAGTGTTGTGGGAAGACAGGTAGGTTGCAGCCAGGTTTCATCATTCTCAGGATTTACCTCAGGCAGGTAATAGCGAACTTAAACTTATGGTATGCAATGTAGGTATTAATAGACTAGGAAACTGAAAACTGCAAAATTAATTACCTGCTGCTGAGGGTTGAGTTTCACATAATCGTCTTTGTGCTGCTCTCCACCATCGCGGATCAAGTTCACGTGCTTTTGATCGTACTCAATGCCTTTCAGCGCCAACGCAATGCGAACTCGCCATGAGCACGAGCTGCGGAAATAACTCCAGAGCACAGGTTTTGTTGCCATCTTTCCACAAAATAGCTTCGACTCCACTGAATAAAGAAAGTAGAAAAATGAACTGGACTTTTGTCAAAAAGTACGCACGTGTTGTTTTGAAAGCCTTGACATGACGCAGCCTTCGCGGCTGCAGGGACGCTAATTGCCAGCCAAATAATTATTTTGAAGATCTAACATCTACCCTCGTACCGTGTGTGAAAAGTAAAAATGTGAAGCGAAATCTCGTGTTGCCATGTAGATCTAGTACTGTACTGAACTGAGTCCTGACTAGCTAGCTGAGTAGATCTACGTAGCTACGTAGACCCTCTACTGTCTTGCAGAAGACGACATGATTTGACTGGAACATGACATCTAGGAACGCGCTTGGCGAGGTCGACATGTGTACTGATTCAAGTAGAATGAATGCTTCAAACCAAAGGGGCTCCATATCCAGGGGCGTAGCACCCGCTACGACTGGTACGACCATGGCCGTACCACTTTTCGAAAAGTGTGGTCCGTCCGGAACGTGCAAAACCGTAATAAAAAAAATCAGGATCCATCGATGCATATATGCGCATCAGACTTTGACCTTTTTTCTAGACTCGTACTCGTAGATCTGTTATGCATCTGCAGTCAGTACTGTGCTCGACTCGACTGCACACTGCGCCAGAAGTGTGCCAGAAGTTCCCAGAACGCAGGATTTTGTGTCCTTTTTACAAAATTTTCCCGGGGGAGGTCCCCCGGACCCCCCTCCAACACGGCCTTCGGCCGCACCGACCTTCGGTCGTACCACTTCCAAAACCCCTCCTACGCCCCTGATATCAGTACAAAGTTCCAGAGAGATTTGATTCTTTGACTTTTGCCCCAAGGTGCCTCTCTCGAAACTCGACATTAGTGAAGACATCGATCGCCAAGAGGTATTGAAGTGTTATGTACGGTCGAGGGTTTTCGGGTGTGTAAAATACCACATACTTATTTGAATGATACCCAGCAGGGAAAGGAATGCCACATTTTGTTGCTGCTTCTTGCTAGCATTCTGTCGTGCCCCGTTACATTTTGTAACTTTTTGTTGTTTGGCACTGTCGATACAGTGAACCCCCACATGGGCACAGAGACACACACCCCCTCCCATACTAGGCCATAAGATTTCTTCTTTCTCGCTCGAAAACATAACATTATTCTACACCGTGAAGCTGTCAAGCTGGGTGAAACGTGTCATTCAAGATATTATCTAAATATAAAGTTTATAAACTAAGAGATATGTCCCCAAAGGTGTTGAATTAGGGAGCCTCCCCAGATCATCTTCGATGAACAGACTCAAACATGTGTCACAAACTGTGACTGAAAGATGGGGTAACACGAATATGATCAACGGTACCTTACATGTACATAATTTATGAGTTTTCGAAGTATCAAACAATATCAGAAACATTCTATAGTTCTAATGCGTGGCATGGATCCTGCACAAATGAAAGTCTTCATAGTCCTCGCTGAAATTGTTTTAGAACGGATAAATCATATCAACACATGAATTGTTTGCACTTCTCAGGATCACCGTGGCAATGCCGATAGCCAATCAGTGTACGACGATACGCCAGCTCCTGTCTGTCATCATCATGGGTTAACAAGACCATTTGATCATACGTCCTCTTCATACAATGGCACTCCTCTAGTTCTTGCTCTTTTCCAGCTGTGGGTGCAGCTTCCAGAATGGCAGGCGGATAGGGGGCAACGAAGGATGGAGATGATGGGTCGACATCAGAGACGGGAGAGCAAATCCATCGAAGGCTACATGTGGATGGAAATCGATGAGGAAAGACATATGTATCGGGGAAGTAGCAACCCTGCTCGAAATGTTTTCCAGTTGGGGGAAACACATGAAGACCGTCCTCATACGTTTCAACAGGTGTAGCACATGAAGGTGTCGACGATTGTGATTGAGTTGGCAATGGTGTTGATGTCACAAGAGTCGCTACCACCATCAGAATCGCCATGTAGGACGCTGCGTTTGTATCGACCTGTGCATTGGGACAACATTGAGATAAGAACGAGATTATATCAAGAGACAGAACTAGAAGTGATGATTTCATACTAGCTTTACAATAAACCTTTTTATGAAATTATGTTCACAGAGAATTCCACGAAATTGACAGGAGATTGTGGGGAGGATGGTAGTTAAGATTAAAGGTGGCTGGGGCGGTGCAACCTTATTAAAAGGGTAATTTTGACTACATTGCCCCTTGTTCTAAAAGCAAAAGCAAGAGATGTTGTACAAATATGAAGTATCTAGAAAGGTGGGTAGAACTGATCTTACCTTCGCCATGTTTTTCAAGTTTGGGTCTGGAGCTTGCGATAAGACCTTCACAGTATAGTAGGTGGAAGAAATTTTGCTTTTCTCTTAGACTTTACAAAATCCCAGTGGAGTATCTTTCTGCAGACTGGATTTGGCAATGGTGGTTTTATAGCATGTTGCATGGTGTAAAGTGTTAGTTTGCCAATCAGGGTAGAAAGCAAGCGAAGAAGAGATTGTTTCCTTCAGGGAGTCTAACTGGTGATTGCCTTCAAGTATGGCAGTACAGGTTCTTGATTGTGGGAAAGAGGAAACATGGTAGAGAAAGCAAACGACAGTAGCTTGAGAGTAATAGAGAAGTATGCATGGGTTGCTGGGATGATGTCCAAATCTTTGCTCCTTGTCTTGGTTTGTCATAAACCAAGTTCCAGTACGCATTGTCTTATACCAGTTTGTTAGTGTTATTAGCTTGGTGTTAGCCTTGCAAGGCACGCAGAGCACTGTTTGATTTTGACTGGGTATCAAGCTCAATCATGCTGTTAGGCCACGTTGCGGATGCATTCTGCACCCTTCACTTCACGTACACTTCAGTCACTACTCGTAATAGAGCTTACTCGAAGTTACTGGCAAGCCCACTGACCTGAGGCAAACGCTAAAACAGAATGTAGATCAGTTTTAATTTCCGATGCATCCAAACTGCACGCTGGTTTCACGATGGTTTCCTAGGCTGTAGCCTTGTGTAGGACACTACACAAAACTCAATAGCAGAATACTAGGAAAGGGTTTTCTCGCCACCAGGGAGTAGTAAAACACCCATCCTAGCGTTAATTTACTACTCCCAGCAACCCACACTGGAGCCAGCAGTCTTTTCCAGCGACTTGACTTGACACTTCACTGACTAATGGCTGCTATCCAGAGCACACAAGGAGTCCATGGAATCTTGGCCTCGCCAAACCTGCAAAGAACCACTGGCTGCTCTAAACATGTCAAGTCCAGTCAGCGGAAAAGCGCTAGCTCCACTCCTCCAGTGTGGGGAGCAAACCCTTTCCTATACAATCATGTACATTTACAATTATTTTCGCCGAAGTTGGTTTTTAAAGACCGGTACATGTACCAGTATTTCGTACTTCACTATCCACTGCTGCCAACAATATTGTATGTCCTCTTTCTGCCGGCGAGTACCTATGCTATAGATCACTAGTATTTTGGACCAATTCTAAAGGGGCGTATCAGTTTCAAGGTTTTCTTCAGGAGCGTTTTCAAGGCCTTCGCACATTTGATCTACACTCAAAAAGATCCTGAACTGCATATCAATGTACATGTACATGTATACCTGCACAATTTGACCGAAATGGGAGAGATCGACTTGCACTCATACAGTGTTCTGTGGAATTCTAAGACATGCTCTATTCACAGATTGGAACATACTTGGCACAAAGGCAAAGAGACCACTAGGACGGTTTCGTAAAGCTACCTAAATATTGAAGATATGGGACCCAATATTGATACTAGTAATAATGATAATTATTGTGATGGAAACATCACCAATAATCTTTCACCTGTTAACCTTTGGTATCTCAAGAAATGCCACATTTTCTTGCTGCTTCTTGCTACGATTCTAGCGCTGAATCAACTCACGTTGTTTTGTCACATTTCACGGTATAATCGTAGCTGTAGTTGTTGTTGTTGTTGTTTGAATTCTTTATTCTCACGTTGGCACCATCGCCAATAAGAGTTGTTGTTGTTGTTGTTGTTGTTGTTGTTGTTGTTGTGTACCATTATAGTAACTTCAAACAGGAAAATAAACCTCCTTACATAAGTCGACAGAGAGGGGATGACCGAGGATTAAACCCACGAGAGACAGAGAAAAATGACAAAGGAGAGACTAGGTTTTGCAGTGACCGTGTCAGGAAGAAAAGTCTTGATCATTTGCCCCTACACCGTGCCAATATTCTGTCCTGCCCTGTTAGGTGTTGTTGCTATTAAATTTTGTCATTGTCGATACCGTGAACCACATTGGCACAGAGCACCCCCTGCCCTCCCTTACTGGGCCATAGGACCTCTTATTTCTCGCTCGAAAACATAACATTGTACACTGAAGCTGTCAAGCTGGGTTAAGTGTCATTCAAGACACTATCTAAATATTTACTGAGAGATATGTTACCAAAGGCGTGGAACCAGGATGCAGAAGGAAGCCTCCCTATCACAAACTTAGACTGAAAACTGGTGTAACACGAATATGATCAATTCTGGCTTACAAGTGTAGAATTTCGGAGAGAAAAGAGCAGGACGAGGCATGTGGGCCCTAATGTTCTAGCTTACATGTACATGTACATAATTCCTGAGATTTAGAAGTATCATACAATATCAGAAACAGTCTATAGTTCTAATGCGTGACAAGGATGCTGCACAAATGGGAGTCTTGATAAGTCTCGATGAAATTGTTTTAAAACGGGTAAATCATATCAACACATGAATTGTTTGCACTTCTCAGGGTCACCATGGCAATGCCGATATCCAATCAGTGTACGACGATACGCCAGCTCCTGTCTGTCATCATCATGGGTTAACAAGACCATTTGATCATACGTCCTCTTCATACAATGGCACTCCTCCAGTTCTTGCTCTTTTCCAGCTGTAGGTGCAGCTTCCAGAATGGCAGGTGGATAGGGGACAACGAAGGATGGAGATGATGGGTCGACATCAGAGACGGGAGAGCAAATCCACCGTAGGCTACATGTGGATGGAAATCGATGAGGAAAGACATATGTATCGGGAAAGTAGCAGCCCTGCTCGAAATGTTTTCCAGTTGGGGGAAACACATGAAGACCGTCCTCATATGTTTCAACGGGTGTATCACATGAAGGCCGAGGTGTCGACGATTGTGATTGAGTTGGCAGAGGTG